GGGAGGATTTTACTTAGGGATGATTTTAAGAATAATTTTAATAGGAATAACAGCTTCTAATATTTGGTTTTTAATTTGGTTTTATAGGGGTCTATATTTTTGTATTTTGTATTTGTACTTGTTTTAATATGCTGTGCACCGCCCTGAGTCCTGCGGGAGAAGGGCGGTATATAAATTAAATTAATAATAATAATAATAAAAAAAAAATGATGACATTAGAAAAATCCAATTTATAGAAATAAATGGAAGAAGCTAGATAACAGAATTAAGTGACCAGACAGAACAAAACTATAAATTTGAAGAGCTGATAAATAAGAATTGTAAAATGTATTTTGTCTTTCATAATCACAGCTAATAATTATGATTTTTTTTTAAATCCACTTATTCTATTTCATTTTTCCTTTCAGATTGCATGGGACAAATAGTTGCCTTTTTATTCCTTGAAGTAGAATATATTTCAAACCTCACTTCCCAAGTTGCTAACAGATTTATTTAGAAATCAAGAAACTATTTAATTGACAAAATGCATCATATAGTAATATGTTTTGTATAATGTGGGAACGATTGAATTCTTCCCACCATTGTCATGTTACATGATTTCTATTTGGTGATATGTAAGTCATTGCACTAAGTTACTTCTCATTTTGGTTAGTTTCAATCCATTGCTTCTTGTCTTGCCTTCAGGTGCTTTGGAGAATAGCTTGACTTCCTCTTCTTTGTGGCAGCCCCTGAGATATTGGAACACTGCTATCATGTCACCCCTCGTCCTTCTCTTCATTAAACTAGACATACCCAATTCCAGCAGCCGTTCCTTATATGCTTTAGCCTCCAGTCCCCTAATCATCTTTGTTGCCCTTCTCTGTACTCTTTCTAGAGTCTCAACATCTTTTTTACATCATGGTGACCAAAACTGGATGCAGTATTCCAAGTGTGGTCTTACCAAGGCATTGTAAAGTGGTATTAACACTTCACGTGATCTTGATTCTATCCCTCTGTTAATGCAGCCTGTGTTGGCTTTTTTGGCAGCTGCAGCACACTGCTGGTTCATATTTAAGTGATTGTCCACTAGGACTCCATAATCCCTCTCACAGTTACTACTATTGAGCAAGGTACCCCCTATACTATACCTTTGCATCTGGTTTTTCTTTCCTAAATGTAGAACCTTACTTTTTTTCACCATTGAATTTCATTTTGTTAGATAGTGTTCAAGTCTATCAAGATCCTTCTGTATCTTAAACCTGTCTTCTGGAGTGTTGGCTATTCCTGCCAGCTTGGTGTCATCTGAAAATTTGATGAGTTCCCCATCTATCCCCTCATCCAATCATTGATGAAGATGTTGATGAGTACTGGGCCCAGAACAGAGTCCTGGGGCACCCCACTACAAACTTCCCTCCATGTAGATGCAGTTCCACTGAGGACCACATGCTGAGTATGGCTGGTCATCCAGCTATGAATCCATCTGGTGGTGATGCTTCTGTCTAACCCACATTTTTCTATCTTATCAAGTAGTAGGTTGTGATCTACTTTATCAAATGCCTTAGTGAAGTCCAAGTAAATTATATCCACAGCATTCCTCTGGTCCACTAATTTTTTCACTTGGTCAAAGAATGCAATAAGATTTGTCTGGCATGATCTGTTTTTGACAAACCCATGTTGGCTTTTAGTAATGACTTTGTTTGCCTCTAGGTGTTCGCTGATTCATTGTTTGATTATCTTTTCCAGAATCTTCCCAGGTATTGAGGTCAGGCTGATAGGTCTATAATTTCC